AAAGTAGAACCAAGCTGATTCGCACCAACTGATAACCGGGACGCGAAGTTGCCCCAGTGATCTCGCCTAGTGTTGTTGATGTAGGCGGTTGACGTGCCCTGCTCAGAGGAATGAGAGGACTGGTGCGGAATAGGAGGGGCGTCAGCAGTGGATTCCCCTCCCCCCAGCTTGGAGCCGGGAGGAGAGGTGCTGGGAATGGCCATGCTGACCCACGCAACTCCCACAAGTGAACCATGCTGAGAAGGCTTGTGCTTCACAAGCTTGCGCATGGGAATCGTTACCTTATAATTAGGGTGCTGCAAAAAGTTAGGATGAAAGTGCAGCCTAGGCTCTGGATATGATTCCAGAGCGTCCCCTAAGAATTTCGCCTGTTCGTTACCCACTAGGAGCTGAAACAGGTCGGGTCGCTCGTCAACGACCAGGGTTTTAGTAAGCGGGACCCGCGTGGCATGCGGCGTGCCCGGAAGAAGCTCAAAAAAGATGTTTGAGGTGTCCAACTCTCCTCGCACAGCACCCCCTAGCTGCAACGAGGTGGACAGCCGCGTGGTTGTCTCGACTATGGGCAGGTTAAGTGCTTTGGCCACACTGGTCGGCATTACGTTGACCGTTGCGGCAAAATCACGCAACGCCTCCGGAGCTGCCCTGTCGCGCTGCCCCTGAACCAACACACACGCCCCTGTTTCGTAGTAATACAGACCCTCGGGTTCCCCCATGTAACGCGCCGCCGCCGGATTAACCGCTAAAGCCTGCTCCCGCTCGTCAGGCGAGAGCTCCGACAAAGTGCGCGGAGGCGGACCCTTAACCCCACTTACCTGGTACTCGAAACCGGCACCACGGTGGTCGGAGGGTTTGGCGCGCCCTTGGGCCGCCAGGGCAAAAGACGCCAGGCCAGAATCAAGGGGAGGTGGCGTGACCAGCTCCGGTGCTGCCGCCGGGAAACAGGCGAGCTGCACACTCTTGTCGGCCTGAGGCGTGGAAGATCCCTCCCCGAAGCTGCTCGAAACTGAGCTGGAACCCTGCGTTGCTTGGGCCGTGCTTGGGGGATGGGGTTTAGCGTCTAAGGGGCCGCCGGTGGAAGACAGCCCCTGCTGGCAGAGCAGGTTAAGAAAAGTGCCGACAGGCATGTCGGAGATTTTGCGCAGGAGAATATTGTCATCCAGCAGTGTATGAGTGCGTTTTGAGTTGTTCGCCACGGGTGGTGTCGGTGGCGGGTACTGCTTCATGACTAAAGGGGCAGGAGTAAAGGACTTAGGAACAGCCTGCGAATGCATGGTGGCTAAGCTGTTGTACCTTACCTCTTGTGCGCTGCGCGTCCATGTGAGTGGCGCCATCCTGGCCTGCTGGCTGGGAGAGGCGTTAGACGCCGCTTCATGGAACTGCGTCGTGCAGCAGGCCGCCTCCTCATCCCCCTCGTCCTCTGCTGCGAAGTCGTCCTCGAAAGCTGCGGCAACAGCCGCCGCCAAGGCCGCCTTCTTTTCAACCGCCTTCTTGCGCTGCAGAAATAAAACCTTCAGGGCTGGGTTAGCAGGCTCGTAGCCCGCGGGAGCGAGTTCGGGGTGGAAAATGAAGCACTTGCTCTGCTGGTGACCCATGGTTCTGCAGAACTCGCAAGATGGCCTATTCCCCCGCGATTCGCTAACACCCTGTCCCTGCTTGGGCTTAGATGGCCCAGCCCCCTTCTGCTTTTGCCCGCCTATTCCCCTGGACCCCCCTGAGGTCGACGCGCTGCCCTGTCCCTGGGAAATCAAGGCAACCAAACGCTCAACAATTCCGGAGGGGATGTCAGAGGTCAAAAGCGCGGACTTCGACTTTGGGGGATTTAAGACACGGCACTGCGCCGTATCGTGAGATGCATTAGTGCCGTGCTTCTCGCAGTAAAAGGTGCGTTTTTCCTTAATAGGGGGTTTTGCTGCACTCTTCTGCTGCGGCGGCTTTTTGTGTACCTGCACTGCCCTGTCCTCCAGCGGAAGGTTATTCCACACAACCTCAGCCTCTTGTGCCGTCTTCTCCAAACGATCGTACCATTTGGTGCGCTCCACGGTGATGAGGTGCCTCTCCAGGTGATGCCGAACCACGGGGTTTAAGCCCTCAAGGAAACGTTCGGCGACTTGGTGTTTACTGACTCTACCGTCCAGCTTCTTCTCCAGCGCTAGCAACATGTCCTTGAAGACTATGGGAGAGAGAGCTCCCTGCTGCATGCTTTTGAAACGCGCAAGATCACTCTCAGCGCGCGCGGAGGCAAAGTTTTCCTCTAGGATGTGGGCGTAATAGTCAAACAATTGACGAGGAGAGACGGTGTTGGCTGCCGCACCTGGTTCGGATACACCGAAGTGCGCTGCGGCTTTTGATATGAGGTTTTGTCTGTGGGAGTTGTACCACGCCTCGAATGGCGTGTTACGACCAGGCAGTGCATCAAGGTACGACTTCAGGCTTTCAACAGACAAGTTGTTCCTAGAAAGAGGGTAAGAAACTCCTTGCTGGAAAACCTTAGTGAGGAAGTCATCCAACCCGTTGTGCTGGAACGGGTCAAGGGTAGGGTAAAGGTTCTGCATGATGTCGTCGTCAGAATCGCTGTCCCTAGAAAAGATAGGGTTGATGTAGGTGCGGGGCCTACCTAGCGCTTCAAAGAGACGCGACCACTTGTCCCTATCGGAATCTGTTCCGAGGGTTTCTAGTGGAGCAGCAACCTCACCCTCAGTTTGAGCTAACTTAGTCAGGGGAAGTTCCACCTGTACTGCTATG